GCTGAACTGATGAGTGCCAGTGCTGAACTCGCTCATTGAAGAGCGCAGCTTAGACCTGCAATCACAGTCAGTAGTTCATCTTAAGCAAGTCACTTTTCCTATATATTGGCTGGCTACATGGATTGGAACGCAGTAAGGAGTGTCATAAACACCTTCCTCAGAGGTTCACTGCATGAGTTATTGAGCCATCCTGTCTTCCAGGATTCTCAGTGAAACCCACCGTAAGGAACTGCCGAACTTCGAGGAAAGATGTTTGTCTGTAAGAGGTATTTTTCAGTAAGATCGTGGAATGCCATTGTCTGAAATCCAATATATTGCTTGAAGGAGTGGCTAACAAACAGGTTGATTCTCAGTATAGGTTTCATGTTGAACTGAATTCCAATTTCATATATCTATAAACGTAAGGGACAGTTCCACTAGCGTCAGTGAAATCTTAGAGTGGGACAGTGGGTGTAAAAGAATATGAGTAAGGCATTCATGGTTCCATTCCCATGGACTAACTGGCCAACTTGCAAGGGAAAAAAAAAAGCCTTTTGGATGGACAAGAATATTGCTAATACAATGAAGCAAAAAGAAAAAAGAAAGATTGAGCAATTCTATGTAGAATTAGCACACCAGCATAATGTTTAGTATTAAAATTCTAAAACCTCAATCTGTACTTCTGCAATAGAAGGGAAATACTTTCTCTTCCAAAATGTGATGTCTGATACCATGTTGTTTACTGTAAGGGCCAGCATCCTCTCTGTGTTTGCTGCTGCATGTCTCACCTCCAATATAATAAAATCAGTAAGGAAAATATTTTGTTCTTTGAGTAGAAAATTCAGAAAAGAATGGATAACACTGCTTGCTTAAGTCCTGCAGTAGGTTTCAGGTTACTGCTTAATAGTGTATGCTTTAAATCTATTGCTTTTTTTGTTTCTTGATCCCTTTTATTCCTTTCTAATGGACTGGTCTTATGTGCTCCAGGGACAACTGTCACAGAACCCTTTTGTGTATCTACCCATAAAGCTCATGCTTCAAGCTTACGCACTGGAAGCATTAAAAACTAATTTAAAAACTGTACTGTGACTATTAATTCTGGCAGAAAAGGAGGAAATAATCACAGAATAGTGGAGGCTGGAAAGGGTGCCTGGACATCATTTAGTCCAATACCCTGGTTCAAAGCAGGGTCAACTACAGTGGGTTGCTAAGTGCCATGTCCACTTGGGTTTTGGATATCTCCAAAGATGGAGACTCCACAGTCTTTCTGGGCAACCTGTGCCAGTATTTCACCACTCTCAGAGTAGAAAAGCTTTTTCATAAGTAGAAACAAAATTTCCTGAATTTCAGTTTGTTCCTGTTGTGTCTTGTCCTGTTGTTAGGCACTGTTAGAAGAGTCTGGCTCTGTCTTCGTTACTCCCCTCACCCCCTATTGGGTATTTATGCACATTGACAAGATTTCCCCCCGGAACCTTCTCTCTTTCAGGCTTAGTAATCCCATCTCTCTCAGCCTCTCCTAGTATGACAGATACTCCATCCCTTAGTCAACTTTGTGGCCCTTTTCCAGAACCTTTTCAGTAGGTCCAGAAGTGGACTCAGGACCCCAGGTTTTGTCTCGATAGTGCTGAGTAGTGAGGAAGGCTCAATTCCTTCCACCTGCTGGCAGTGCTCTTCTAATGCTACCCAGGATGTTGTTGACCTTCTTTGCCATAAAAGCTTATTGCTGGCTTATAGTCAACTCATGGTCCACCAGGACCTCAGGTCCTTTTCTGAAGAGCTGCTATCCAGCTTTTTGGCGCCCAGTATGTACCGGTGCCAGGAATTATTCCTCCCCGTGTGCAGGGCTTGGCAGCATTGCCCTGTATTGACTTTCATGAGGTTCCTGTTTGCCAGTTTCTCCAGCCTGTTGAGGTCCATCTGAATGGCAGCACAATCTTCTGGTATATTACACCTTTCAGTGTTGTATCATCTGTAAACCTGCTAAGGGTGCACTCTGCCCTATTGTCCAGGTCATTAATGAAGATGTTAAATAGTATTGGCCGCAATATTGACCTATGGGGGGCACCCCTGATGACTGGCCTCCAGCTGGATTTTGTGCTGCTGATCACAACCATTTGAGCCTTGGAATTCAGCCACTTTTCAATCCACCTCGCTGTTGACTTACCTACTGTATATTTTCTCATTTTGTCTGTGATGATGTAATGGGAGAGAAAGTTGAAAGCCTTTCTAAAGTAAAGATAGACTATCTACTGCTCTCTCCTTATTCTCTGAGACAGTAACCTCATTGTAGAAGGCTATCAGGTTGATCAGTCATGACTTCCTCTTAAATCCATGTTGACTACTCTTGGAGGACCTTCTTGTCCTCCACGAGTTTGGAAATGATTTCTAGATTAGTTGCTGCATCACCTTCCCAGGGATTCAGGTGAGACTGGCTGGTTTGTAGTTCTCTAGATCTTCTTTGTTGCCACCCTTGAAGATAGGAGTGATATTTGCTTGCTTTCAGTCCTCAGAAGGCTCCCTCAATTGTCACAACCTTTTGAAGATAACAGAGAGTGGCCTTGAAGTTGCTGTTAGCACCTGAGACCTCATGGACTTGTGTATGTCTAGTTTGTTTAAGTGTTCCTCAGTGTGTTCGTCCTCTACTGAGGGCAGGTCTTCCTTGCTTAAGGCTTGTACTCATCCCTCGCCTCACTCTTGTCTTTAGAAGATGACTCTTGTGTTACATAGTGCTAGTTATAGTAGCAAGTATAAATTGTTAAGGTGAGTGAAACATCTGACAGTGAAAGCTTGTGGGTATTGGTCAAAATGAACTTAATGAAATAAATTCTAATGAACTTCCAAATAGTGATTTTAATGAAATAAGTAAAAAGTTTTGAGTGAAATGTTACAGATTGTCATCTGATGTTAGCTGTAATCTATCCTGTTTGCATAACTTTCCAAAACTGCTTGGCTTTAGCTTTTTTTGCAACTATTAACTATTTGTAGTTATACCAATGTTAAAGATTTTGTTAGAAGCTTCTAAAATGGACATCAAAATATGTATCCAAATACTTATGGTGGGTTGACTGCGGCTGGCTGGCTGCCAGACCCCCCATGAGCAAAAGACTCGACTGGAGGAAAATTAATTTAATTTATTGCCAATTAAAATTGTCAATAAATAAACCTAAACGGTGCAGGGGGATGGGGAATGGGGTTGAGGTCAGTCCGTAACAGCTCCCCTCTGCTGCTGCTTCTTCCTCACACTGTTCCCCTGCTCCAGCGTGGGCTCTCCTCACGGGCTGCAGTCCTTCAGGAGAAAA